AAAGAAGTCGAGCAAGGCGGCCAGTTCGTGTTCGCTGGTTACGAAGCAAGGTATGTATTTCTACAGTAATTTCAGATTGCACTGATACGAATGCCTCCTTCTGCTGATTGGTCCCTTTTGGGATGTGCCACGCATTTCACTGTTATTTGAAATCACGAGGGCGTTTCAATGCAATTTTGGCTATACAGTGGGTTGAGGAGCATGCATATAGACAAATCAAGGTTTCTACACTTCGATTGCGATACCATATGGGCGATCCCGTAGTGACAGAACGCTTGGCTTGCCAGGGCATGCTTCTATGCTAGATTTGAACACCAGACCCGCCTCACAGCCCTCCACACAGCGCACCTGCGCAGCATACCACTTTCCTCCGTTAATGGGTTTCCTGAATGAATTTAACAGTAGAATCGATAGTACAGCAGCTTGTAGGCATTATTCCCTCCCTATCCCTATGATGGCATTCATGTTTGTTGAAGTAGTAATCCTCGGGAGCTTAGGGATATTTTTGATCCTGCTCGTTCAGATGTCTTCTCTCCTCCAACGTCACCATGATGCCGCATTCGTCTTCAGTGCCTATTTTACATCAGTCTGTGAGTCGTCCACGTCTTCTTCAACGCCCACAAATGCCTCGTAGAGGTGAGCAGCCAGCTATCGGTGTCCGGTCATTCTCAGCTCGCTGTGAAACCCGCAATTCTACTCGAAGTGAAGGTGTGTTGTTTTTTGAGTTCTGTAGTAGCCAGGTGACGCTCAGAATTTTTTCAGGCTCAACCAGGCTGTCTTGCTGGCTTCCGTCTCACATGATGGAAACGCGAAGTAATCGTAAAGGTCGGCAGAACAAATTAGGTAGAGGAATACTTTTAATTTCTTCTTTTGTTCATGGACAGCAGCGATTGGTCGGTTAAACAAACGAGTTCATTAGACATTTATTTCAATCAATGCCCTTTTCCGGTTTTCTATTGTATGTTTCAGGTGGTCGTTCAGTAGACGTTAAGAAACTTGTCGCTCTGTGCAAATCCTCGCTATGCCGCTGCCGTAGATGTCGTCATGACAACTCTTTACGACGTCGAGTCTCGAAGTATAACCCAAGGTTGGTTTATACTAAGTTTTTCAGTGGAATCGATTACTGAAAGGAGAGTAGAGGGGGTTCGAGGGTACGTGGCGCTGCTTATGGTTAGTACGCTCACGGCACATGGATCAAATCTGAAGTCGAACTCCTCCAATCCAGCTTCCATCCCACCTCGGTTAATTGGTTCTAGAGTTGTCGGGGGTAGATAACACTTTGATTTGTATATTGGCTGGCCGATGCTGAACCTTTATCCTTTTCAAAGGTGTGGCCTTAAAGGCACATTCCACGCCTGCAATGCATGACGGGGGTACGGGGAGGGATGAGTCAAAAATGATACTGTAGGTGGAAGTAACCACTGGAAATAGAAGCAAGAGAAACCGCCGGAAACGCTTAAACTAGACCTTCCTACCCATTTCGAGCCTGCTCCGAGCTTTCGGTGGGGAACCATGGGGCGGGGAAAGGGTAGGCATCGAGGTTACGAAAGAGCATAGAGAAGAGCTAGTGCAGGCAGAGCTCGTGGCCAGGTGCGACTGGGAGCGAGATTGGCCCTCAGCAGGTCTACCTTTTAATCTCATTCCTAAAACTGGTATTACCAGTGCATTCGCTTACCAATCTACCTTTCATGGACAAATTTTTCATTCACTAAAGTTCTCGAAGTATGTGCCTTTAAGTAATTGTCAACAATGGTCCTAGCTTTCAGATTCATCCCCAGCGGCATTGGAAAGTACAACGTCGTCAGACGAAGTCTGTGTATTTGCGGGCGTGACACCGAGTTCATGGAGACCGTTTCCTCTATAAAAATCAAATT